TCTGGGGCTCCTGGAACCTCTCTGGCTGGTGACATTTTGGGGCTGAGCTCTGCATGGAGGAGCACCAGGGCTTGTGTAAAATGTCACAGGACAGACAGGAGCCATGGTGGGACTGGGAACCCAGACTGTGTTAAACACAAGAGGCTTGGAAAGCGTGGCTAAGGGTTCCCTGCTCCTGGTCCTGCTGGCCTCCAGGAGTCCTAGGCAGGGTTATGTCAAAGCGCAAGGGGTAACGCTAGCTGGGACAACTTGCCACAGGACTTCCAGCCCTCCCGTGGGCTCAGCAGCCTGTGGAGAAATGCCTGCAGAAAGCACTGGGGGCTCTTTGGTGCAAGGGCAGCTCCAGCCTGGGCTGCAGCTGCTGGCAGCAGCCGGGCTGAGGGGCAGCACCATGCGCCCTTGCTTTTCCCTGCGCAGCAGCGTTCGGCCTCTGCCTTTGCTGAGGAATCAGAAAACTGCGTTTGAGCAGGCAAGGAGGGCTGGGGGCTCTGGGGGAAGGTGCCAACCCCTGGCCCAGCCATGGCCGCAGGTTTCACTGCCAGCTCTGTCTCATGGTGGTACAGGGCTTGGCAGGTGCCCACCTCTGTGCCGTTGCCACCTTAGTGGCGTAGGGACACAGTAGCGACTCTACCCAGCCTGAGCTTGGTCTCGGGGCTTCACCCTTTCTCTAGCTGGTGCGGCTGGAGGTGGGGAAGGTCCACAGAGCACTGCTGGACCTTGGGGCATGAAGCTTGCTCCACTCCATCTAGCACCGTGTGAGCTCCCTGCTACATGGAGCAGCCTCCCTCTGCAAAACGCTTACCTCACCCTCGATCACATCCACACACTGTCTCGGGGAGCTGCCTCTCCCCTCCAGATGTGCGGGTGTGTCGGTGCTGCCGCCTCAAGCTCCCACACCCTCTGCTCCTCTCCCTTGCGTGTAGCCTGGGGCAAGCTCCTGTGCGCTCACCTCCCGGAGCGGGTGCAGTGCACTGGCTTGCGCCATTCTGCAGCCTTACTTTATTCTTAGGGATGTCTTGAAAACAGATTCGTCCTTCCCAGCCAGGAGCTGGAGCCTGAGTAGAGGCAGCTGGGGTGGGTTATTGGCAGGGCTGTTACTTGGGCTCCTCTGAAACTTTGGGTGCTCTGCATGGCTGTAGGGGCCATAACTTGTTCATCCCCCTTCTGGGGGCAGGGTTTTTGAGGTTACCCACCATTGCATCCCTGTCCGTTTGTGTGTGTCACTGTTCCCCTGCCCCCCTCCCCGGGGCAGTGCTGCTTGGAAGGAGCTGAGTCTGACATTCCTCTGTTGGACCGGGCTTGGGGTGGTGGTTTTTCGGAAGTGCTGGGGTTTAATTTCTGTGTTGCCTTGCTGAAAAGCTGTGTGCTTCTGGGATGAGTCAGAGCAGGCAGGAGCCCAACAGTGCTGGCGCTGGTGGCGGACAGACAGAGCTGGTGATAAGGGTGCAATAAGACCACGAGAGCCCTGATTTTGTGCCAGGGCTGCAGGGAATGGGCAGCTCCCAAGCCCGCTGCCTGGCCTCTAGCTGCACCACTGTCAAGGAAGCAGAGAGGTTATTTTGGGAACCACGGTGCTGGGAAAGTCTGCTGTGTCAATAACGATAAAGCACTTGTGGGTGATGTTTTTAAAATACCCCTTGTCTGTGCCCAAATGCCTGTGCTTTGCCCCAGGAGCGGGCAGCGAGTGTGGCCGGGGGGTAGCCCCAGCCTTGGTGCTTGATCCCAGCCAGGGAGGGGTCCGTGGCCATCCAGCATGTCCCACAGCAGCTGTGCCCCACATGCAATCTGACATATCCTCAGTGGTTGCCTCTGGGTGACGTCCCACTCACTGTCTAACCCTCTTCCCACGATCCCTGTCACCTTCCTCTGAGTCTGGCTCCTCTCTCCATCCCTGCAGTTTGTTGTTTATCCTGGTCTGGCCCCCTCTTTGAACAGGGTCCCTGTCCCCTGCGCTGCCCTGTGCCCTCCCACCCCTCGCTGCGTGGCATGACACACAGCGACATGGGGATGGAGGCAGCCTTCCTCCCCGCCTCTCCGGCCGCTCGAGCAGCTCGTTAGCGCTGGCTGGGACCTGAGCAGGGGCTGCTGCAGCTGGCGGAAACATGGGTGGGCTGAGATGGGATTAGACGTGGTCAGGGAAATTCCAGCTGCCCCGTGGTTAGCACGGGGCTGCTCTGGCTCCGGGAAGCCCAAAAGGGCCATGCATGCTGGCTCTCCTTAACTGCTTCCTCCTCGATATCCGTTCCCAGAGGCTGCTGGACTTGGGCTGCCCAGGAGAGGGGGGGACACACACACACACACTTGGGCTGGGTGGTGGGGACCAAGGTCACCTCTATGCGCCTCTGTGGGCTGGAGGGGGGGGAGGTGGGGGGTGGCAGCAGGCAGCCCTGAACAAGTGGATGGGACAGGCTTGCACCCTTTTCCAAACACCCCTGGGTGTTTCCATCACCCATGTGTCAGGGCTGCTGAGGATGAAGAGCAGTGTATGGGCTGCAGCGCAGCCGTAGCAGCCCCTGGGAGACGGCAGCATGTGCCAGTTTGGGGTTGCAAGTCTGCCTGCAATGGGTGCTGAGGGGGTTTCTCAGTGCCCGCAGGCACGGCAGTGCTGGTGGGAGGCACTCTGGCTTGGTGAGAGCTCTCTGAAGCAGCCTAGCCTCCAGCTGGCACCAGCAACGCCGCTGACCCCTGCTTGGCGCCCGCTTCCTGGCTGGGCTGGGCAAGGTGCCTGCGGGGCAGAGCCCTGGAGCAGGTTCTTGTGGGTTGCTGGCCTGTTTGCATCTGCGTTTGGGGGGGAGTAAAGATGAGCTGTGACCTCGGGCAGGGTAGGTGTGCTGGGGGGCTGCCTGTGCTGCTGGCCCTAGGCTGGGGCGCGGCCGGGGGTCCTGGCACTTGCAAGAGCTGTAGTTGAGGAGGCAAGTGCTGTGCATGTGCTGAGGCGATGCCGTGGAGCAGCCCCGATGTGAATGTGTTCCAGCAAAGGGCAGGATCGTGTCCAGGGGCCTGGCTTTGCCTTGCCTGCCCCCACGTGTCAGGGTACCCAGCCATGTCCCACCAGGAACCAAAGGGGTGCTCCTGGGGCCGAGCTGCTACCTGGATGCTGGCTGACATGAGCAGCATGTTCCCAGGGCCATCTACTTGTTTTCAACCAAGAGCACTGGGGTTCAGGAGAGGGAAACCCAAAACTCCATTCTTGAGACGCTTGCTCTGTTTGCCGAGGAAATAGAAGTTGGAAGCAGCTCTGCTCCAGCGCTTTCCCTAACCTCGATGCTGCCCCTGTGCTGATTCATTGATTTGGACGGGTTATATACTGGGAGGGGAAGCATGAACCACACTCGGCTCTCTTGCCAGCACAGAGCTGTGCTCGCTCGGCGCTCACGGCTGCAGGACACTCGGGTAAGTCTCCTCTCTGCTACCGCCCCTGTGAGTGGCCCCGGGCCCGGGGGGACTCCTGGGGCAGCTCCGAGGGGTGGTGGTGGGATCTGCACATTCAGCATCTCTTGATTTGATGGAGATGTTTGTCTTGTAAGGGTTTTCTGAAAAAGCGAGATCACTTAAGCATTGTGAGAGCTGAAATAGTTACATGGGCAACATATCTTAAATAATAACCAATAGAGAAAATTAAGGCGGGCAAAGTAACATTTAGGGGCCTGAGGTTAGGGGCAGTGGGATGCTGAGGGGCTGAGCGGTAGGGAATATTCAGATCCTTGGTCTGTAGACATTTTGTCCCTGGAAGAAAAAAGGAGATAAATTATTTTCAGCTGCCTTTCCTGAAGGGCGCTCCAGTGTGGATGCTCTCTGAGCTGCCTTACCAGGGAGTGACACAAGCAGGGCTTTTGATGTTCAGAGCATTTGGGGAAGTTTATAAACGGTTTGCTATAAACAAAGCTGTTCTTGGATGCAGATTGTTTCCATATGGGAAACATAAACTGTGCTGGCTTATGGAGGGTTCCTCCCTCCCTGCTGGAGAGTGAGCGTGTTCCCTGAAGGGAGCCCGGGGTGGAAGGCAGGGGCTGTGCCCCAGCACCCCGGGGCGCTGTGCCAGTGCAGGCACCATGCCTGGACCCCTGCGCTGCCAGACTTGCCCCTCTGACTGAGCCGTGCTCAGAGCTGGGGCAGCTGAGAGTTTTCCCCTCCCTTGTGCCACTCGAAGTTGTTAGCAGTGGGCTGCTCCGTGTCAGCCTGGCACAAGGCTGCTGCTTTAATCTAGGGAGGGAGGAGAAGGTGTCCATGGTGGCTGTGCTTGTGGGGTGATGGAGGACCTTGCTGTGAAGTCCTTGCTCCCCTCAGGCTCCACAGCTCCCCTGGCACTACCCCTGGGACGAGCCTGCATATAGATGCCCACACCAGACACTGTGCTAAAATTGGCCAGGGCTGAAACCTTCTGCTGGGGATGGGGTGCAGGGATGGGGTGCAGACAGGTCCACCCCCATACGCAGCCTGGGTTGGAGAGCTGGCAGAGGGTCCCGTTGACCCAGGCTCCTGCAGGATTGGAGCTAAAGCACACCAAGGCAGAGGGTGCTGGTGCTCTTGGCTCAGAGCTGCTCGCTGCTGGACAGTCAGAAGGGTGCTTAGGGGTGCTGGGGAGCACTTTTCTTCCTGCCCCCACCCAGCATCCCTGGGACCCGCTCAGCTGTGGGTGCCGCGGGCTGGTTCTAACGAAGGTCTCGGGTCTCGACTGTTTGGTGGTGCCAGGAGGCCAGCGCTGCTGGTAACAGCTCGCCATGCTCACTGCAAAACAGGAAACCGCGCTGCTGGCTGCTGGAGGAGCCGAGCGAGGGGGGCGCCAGGGATGCCACTAATAGCTG